TCTGAAGACAGCCATCTTCATGCCTTATTTTCTTGGAGGCTGAAACAATATGATTTTTAAAAGCTAGGCCGCGTCAATTAATAATGTAAAATGGAAATCACCAATGAACATCAAGTTACAGATGTAACATTAAAAAGTCGCTCAAATGTTCATGAATTCTCACGCCTTTTATGGAAAACAAAGCTTTATTCCTGTATTCATACAAGCCCGCCACTGGACAATAGTAAACATGAAGATTTTTGTCTTCTGGGTTGTTGCGCAACAACCCAGAAGACAAAAATCTTCATACTCATCGCTCTGATGACGGAGGCAGTATGACCTCTGAAACGTTGGTAAACATCGACCAGACTACCCAGCGCAACAACCCAGAAGACAGAAATCTTCATACTCTGATAACGGAGGCAGTATGACCTCTGAAACGTTGGTAAACATCGACCAGACTACCCAGCGCAACAACCCAGAAGACAGAAATCTTCATACTCTGATAACGGAGGCAGTATGACCTCTGAAACGTTGGTAAACATCGACCAGACTACCCAGCGCAACAACCCAGAAGACAGAAATCTTCATACTCTGATAACGGAGGCAGTATGACCTCTGAAACGTTGGTAAACATCGACCAGACTACCCAGCGCAACAACCCAGAAGACAGAAATCTTCATACTCTGATAACGGAGGCAGTATGACCTCTGAAACGTTGGTAAACATCGACCAGACTACCCAGCGCAACAACCCAGAAGACAGAAATCTTCATACTCTGATAACGGAGGCAGTATGACCTCTGAAACGTTGGTTAACATCGACCAGACTACACAGCGCAACAACCCAGAAGACAAAAATCTTCATACTCACCGCTGTGAAAACCTCAAATCTTAAATAGTAAACATCCTTACACAGTGTTATTTGCAAATCCTCCAATTCCTATTTATCCAAAACTATCACTTAAGGTTTTCCTACTAAAACTATATAAATATATCGCATCATCATACGTGTTACATACCCCGAACATCTTCCTCTAAGAACATTGGTCGAAGAATGTGTCTGCACACTGTGAGGTTTCGAAGATCCTCATTTAAGCCCCACGCCTCTACGTCATAGCCCGATTATTGATAGCCGAATTCTGAATATACGAGGATGAGTGGCGGATAGCCGACAAGGGATGGCCCTTCTATTCAGGAATTCGAGTGAATCTAATATCTCTCCGCAATAAAATCTACACTGTTTCCAATGTGGGTGTACAAACGTTATTATGTATCAGCTTTTTAATTGCAAAAAGGCAAGGTAATTATTATTGACGAATCGGAAAGAGACCTTGCTTTCATATTTGTGTCATGACAGCGTGTTGTTACTGCCCTCTACCGATTACAGTGTAATAACAGTTAATTCACGTTCCTTGAAGCCATATTGCAATACAATCAGGATTAATTCATACAAATTCATATGGTTACTACGAGCAATGCAGGAGACACAGAACCACTAACATTTTTTTTCAACAAGTTCTTTCCACCCCCTTAAAGCTACATATATGTTATTCTGCTAATCTACGGTTATAGGCAACATCTGTTGTCTTCCCGAATACATTTTTCATCCTTCAATGAATGTCAAACTCTAGTTCTCTTTTGTTATAAATTTTTCGATATTTCTTATAATGGCGTAACAATAAACGGCTCACATGACAAAACAACAACAACAACAAAGCTTTTCTGATCTTGTTCATTTAACATACCTACATCCTTATTCATTGTGTGGAGGTGAGATTATAAAATTATAGAACTATATTCCATGTCTTCAAACATGTTTTACTTAATCAGCAAAGAAAAAAGGCTTCGATTTCGTTGCAGAATTAAATTTTACACACTAATAAAAGCCGTTTTATCAGAAAGTGGCGTACAGTATTAACGAAAAACGCATAACGTATCACTTATTCAAGTGACACCTACAGTCGCTTAAGCGATTGTCTCTTAGACTCAATAAAAACGCACTGATACAGCAGATTAATCGATATTGCAAGATTGAATTTTAAAACGGAAGTGTGAGAACATCCATGTTCAATTCAACGGCAAAACGAGTACATACTGACGTCATGAATATTATAATCTTTACCATAATCAAGAAATTACGTAATTAAATGACTTATTTGTAACTGAAGTTTAAAAGCCGACACTGTAATTTTATATTGGTGTAATACTTTTGCTCTCTCACTTTGACAAAATGAAGGAAGGTTCAAATTATGTTAATACTTTTGAAGGGACGTTTCAAAAAGTAGATGTAATAGGAGTTAGGAATAAATTAGCATATTTTACAGTCTTGTAGTCTGTTTATTGGGCTACGCAAAATAACGCATTAATGTTACATAAATAATCATGAAATTTCGTCAGAAAATTCAATGGTCAGAGGAAACTGACTTATAGGCCCTGTCGTTATTAAATTTTATTTTTACGAAATAACTTCAAGGGGTGCAAAATGGCTGAGAATATGTCACTGGTAAAGCTAATCGCATATTCAGATTTCACAACGAGCGACATTCTAACCACAATTGACTATACTATACGAAAAATGGTTTGTCACATTTGCAAGATTTGAGGTTGTCGCGATCCTGATGTTGGTCTTCTATGGTCGTGACGTCGTGTGGATTCGTAAAGAAATACTAATATTTCGGATAAATACACTGCCTCCCTCTTCACGGCTTCGCATCCTGGAAAAAGGCTGTAAAGTTGAAATGTAGTTTCCGATACCGGACTGAACTTTCGCGTCGTTTCTCTCAGTCTCTCCATGTGAATGCTGTGACAGTAACTTAATTATTCAACATTATTAAAGTCTGCATTACATTATAATCTTTGCAGTTGAAATAAAATCATTAAATAACTGAAGGATTGAGTAATTATATGCTTTTGCAAAACAATACACGTTCTAGTTCGTCGGTCCAAATAAGGTCTTGGACCTCTGTTCGTTAAAGTATGGTTATAGTTGGTGTACAGTACTACAGAAAAAAGTGCACTTTATTACTACAGCCATAAAATGAAGTCAATATGACAGGTGGAGGGATGGAGGCGAAATTAAATTAGATGCGTGTTTCTGTCATAATTTTGAACGTTGTTCCTAATTCAATTAGAAGAGTGTCGTGACGTAACAATCGAGAATCGATACTCACATCCGTCACGTGACATGATACACAACGTGTTTGGTTTCCCACACGAATTCTGTTCTAAATTCAAATAACTGCTTCAAATTCTTTTACACGTAATGAAATGGATTCACTACTCTGACGCGTAGGCTACTCTTATCCTATGACAAGTACCTTGATGTAGGAACACGCCACAGAAGTTTCGTAATAATACGTCCCTAATGAGAACCGTAGTTTATATTTTATTCAAACATTAATCTCTTTTGTTTCCGCTTTGATAGAATTTACTTCAAACATCTCGTATTTGTTTCAACAAAATTAAATTTCGAAGAAAGAAATTATGAAAATTAATATTTCCTTCTTCGATTTCAATTCTGAATCAATCTCATCAATGATTAAATTAGTTGGGTGCGTACATGAGATATTCTCTAATGAGTAATTACGTCTAAAATTAAACATAAACTTTACAAAATTACTGTCAACCACACTGAGTGTCACACGACATAACTCGTGAATTCGATCGTCAAAAACAGCAACTTTACGTAAGATTCATGCAGATTTAACCGGTATTCTTAATTTCATTTGTGATTTTTTTAAAACCAAAATTTATAGCAATCCTGTAATTCAAGCGCAAAATTCTTCATAGCCTCTTCAGTTCCCCCCCTTTCACACGCATTACATAACCATGTGCCCTGCCAATGGGCTGTTTTTCATTAAATGTGCTATAGTGAGGCCTACAAGAGTAGCGGATATAAAGGAGACGAAGTATCAGGTATAAAAACATTTAAGGCCCTTTTATGTATAAGATTAGAGAAGAATACAAAACACACTGTGAAATAAGAAAAAAAAAGGTCTTTAATGCAGTCGAAAAGATTAGCCTCCTAAGTAGAATGTCAGACTGAAATTATTATGGAATTATAGCAGAATCCGCAATGAACAGCTTCGAATCATGACCGCTGGTATCAGTACGTGTTCGTGTCTGTCCAGTCTCGCAAGCAGACAATAAATATTTGAAATATCTACTCATAAATTTTACTTAACAAAGGCGGGGAGATTCCGAGATAAACGCCAAGTACGACAAACAATACTGATATTTTAAGGACGTCAGATATGCAAGCTTTACAACCCACAGTGCTTCTAGATCGGCCCTTACGTGTTCCAAGCGCCATCATACCCGTTAGATTAAAAGCATTTCAAAAGATTTCAACATTTACTCTGTCAAACTTTTAGAAAATTGTTATAAGTTTCTGTTTCCTGTTGCATGATATTTAAAAAAAAATATTTTCTTATCTTGTAAACGATTTCGCCACAACATGTTTAGGTTTTTACACAAAACGTTATATTATTCAATAGGATTTCAGGTTCTCACGGTTGCAATTATGAAGATGAAAGTCTTCCGAGTTACAGGGCCGTGGAGTCTGATATAAGTTTACCGGCGTTTCAGAAGTGCTTGCAGCAAGTACCTCTGAAACGTCCGTAAACATCTACCAGACTCCACGGCGCCACAACCTATTAAACAATTATCTTCGTTATATTATCTATATAATAGTAATATTAACTTATCAAATAAGAATTTCCCTAAATTTGACATTAACTTATTACCAAAATGTCACACATTTGTCCTATATGTACGGTGACAATCCCTTCTAATAATAACAAGTTACTGGTGTATTGTATTCATTATATAACGAGTTTATTTCTAGGTTGTTACGTTTAGTTAATTATGGAAGATAAATTACTACTTATTAACGTATACTTATATGTGTTAAGAATTCAGTAAGAAAAATGATTTGGAAGTTTAATTATCGACCTGACTCCATTGTCATCAGCTTGAAATATCTGCGGACATCAGTTAAAGGACATTTCTTTGCTTCAGCGCGGTGAAGAAATGGCTGCCAAAGTACTGTTCCTGATTCTGGGAGCTATCGCCGTGTCCAGTGGGCAGCTCACGAAGGTGTGGAAACTATCAGCACGGGAACTGATCGACTACAGAGCGTACCGCGACATCACACTACTACACTTTCGAGTTCCTGATCAAACGCTCACAGCTGCCTTTAACTTCACCGTTTCCGAGAAACTAGTATCATCACAATTATTTTCTGGGTGTGATCCGAGGAAAGTAAGCCTGTTCCTAAAATATGGTAGTTTACCCGTGATCAACCCAGATGGGGCAAAGTTTCCTAATAATTTTTCAATCTCAAATCGTGTGCCAATGTACAACGCGGAGTTTCAGAGCGACGAAGTTCCTGTGATTCTTAATGTCACCAGTCCAATTCCTGGGGATTGGTTTGCCGTCGCATTTCTAAGCTACGCGGATCCTAATAATGATCAGATTTTGCAAGACGGGTTATCCCCAAACTGTGCAGCAATGATCGAGTCCAGTTTGAGCGTAGTTATAACACAAGAAGTTACTGTTATCCTTCCTGAAGAGGAAACTTCAAGACAAGTGGACGAAGAGACTCAGGCCATGACATTTAAATTCTTTGTACCTTT